GGTTCTATTGGTGTTCAGCCTCCCTGAACTTTCTGTCCAATACAAGATCACAAGGGGCAGAGCAGACTCCAGCAGCTGTCCATTTACTAGCTTGGAGGAGCTTGGAGCAGGGGATTGGCTTGCCTTGCTGTGCCTGTGTGTTTGTGGAGACACGCACAGCTTACTAGCGCACACAAGGGTGGCTAAATAGGACCCTGCAAGGGAAAGGAGCCATAAGGTGTATAAGCCACTTTAAAAATGAATGGCATTTAAAATGTAACCAAGCCACGCTTCAAATCACCTCTAGTGTCAATAGGGACTGTAAGAAAAATCCATGAGCTTTTGCTAGGGATGCAACGATCACCTGGTGACGAAGCATGGAGACGGCTTCCCTGTCAATCGGTAAGCCGGGTGGCAAGTCTTTACACGCCGGCTGGCTTCCTTAACCACCTCCCGTCCGCCGATCGTTGAAAGACGGCCGGACGGGAGCCTCCTGGATGCCGGCGGTCGTCTTTCTGTTTTCAATACATTATTTTATGCTCAGTGATGTCCTCATTGGGTCTCTCTGCTTCTCTATGCAGTTCAGTAAAATAATGGCTGGTGGGAGGAGCTGCACATGCATTCCTGACAACAGCTAACTACCCTAGATAATGCCCATATGTAATGCTGAGCCTCCATGATTGAAAGAACTGAAATGCAAAGAATGAAAGGAGCGGGTCAGAGACAGAATGACTGGGGAGGAAAGTGCTAGATGAGGCTGGACATCCTCCAGCCAGGAAATGAGGCGGGCTCTATCTGACTTGTTGCAGCGTCTAATGCACATCATGAGAAGCTCAGTGTGCAGTGAAATCAGAATCATTTAAGTACAGAAGAGGAGCCGGTACAACTGTGCAAGACTGGAGGAAGGCTGGAGTTCAACCTAAAATATTGGGTGATGATCACAGAATTGTCACTAACCTAAACACATATTTTATTTTTTGCTCTCCAAACAGCTCCTATGAAGCAAAATCACCTTCAGTTAATGAGGAGCTGGAAAGGGACAAGGTAGGTAACTCAATATATTCCTCTTAAAATTAATTTCAACCCCAAGGGATGCTGTCCGAGGTTACTGAATTCGCCTCTGCACACTGCTGTACGCCCCCTTACATGTTTCTAGTAAACTTGCATAAAATCAGGAATTCTTGTTCACAAATATTGCAATACATGTTCAAACTGGCCAACTGTGTCAAAGTGATCCCCCTCTGGCCGACTGCGTCAAAGTGCTCCCCCTCTGGTCAGCTGCATCAAAGTGATCCCCCTCTGGCCAACTGTGTCAAAGAGCTCCCCCTCTGGTCAGCTGCGTCAGAGCGATCCCCCTCTGGCCAGCTGCGTCAGAGCGATCCCCCTCTGGCCAGCTGCGTCAGAGCGATCCCCCTCTGGCCAACTATGTCAATCCCTTTGTCTAAATATACAGGTATGAATATCAGACGACTTATCAAACATGTAGTGTCACTGTACCATATACCACTATGGTCGATCTATACCAGTTTGTTCTCTGGCTTTCTCATCTGCTAACTAAAGCCGGCTATACACAGAGCAAATTTTGGTTGTTTCCCGCTGAATCGCACAAAATGTGATCCATGGTTGGCCGTGCTGGTATCAACCTGTTTGACAAAGGTCAATGTTTTCATTGATTTAAAGGAGTTGGGTGGGAAAACTGTTGGCCAAACAATGACTGCAGCCAATGAGATTGAGTCACTGGTCGGGTATTCTGACAGCCGCGTTCTGTGTCAGAGTACTATAGTCGGGTTTCTTCCATCCACGCTCTTTAGATGGAGGAACCAAGTGATATTTCTCGCTTAGCTCCACAGGGAAAACATTTTAAAGGGTATCTCCAGCTTTAGTTCTGGGTCTTTAACTCAGAAAGTATATTAAGGTAATGGCCAGACAGCTAGCACAACACATGGGGTTGGCGGGTGCACAGATGTTGCCAGTTGTTCCCTGCGATGCGTCTGTCCATCTGTGGACACCCTGACCCTTCACTCTGTGATAATCGTGTCTTTATGTTTTTATCACCGTCACTTCCTTCACTGATGATATATTTGGTGTTGTTTTTAGGGCTTCTGTTCCTGGATATCGGCCCCGTTCCACATGCGGTAAGAAGATGCCAATACTATGCAGTAGACACTGCAGCTGTTCTGAAGTACAAAAACCTCACTTGATTAACCTTAACCCAGGGTCCCCCCCCATTTGATGCCTCCCTAGTCAAGTACCCCCAACACTCATATTAAAAAAAACACTGTTAACCTAAAAATGTTTTCCAATAATGCAGCGCCACGTTCTCTAGCATTCTCCTGTGGGTGCAGGGCGGCGAGCCGAGCTTTGACACCCTGGACTCACAGGAAGAGAATTGGACTTTAATCAGAGTTCTATAGAACTTAATGCAGCAAGAATCCAGAGAGCCCCCCAAATGTGGGGTGGGAGGTATTTGTTTCTGAAGCTTGTGGTGTGTAACGTCCAGTCTGTCCTGTGTCCCCAATTTGATCTCACCTTGCAAGGCGGGTTTGAATGTGATTGATGTCTTCGAGATGCTACTTGGAACTGACTCATGCCTCAGACTTCCATCACAATAGCAGGTGTGTTTGGGAACAGCTGTCTCTGCAAAGGAAGATGCAGTCTGCCTTGAGCATATGTTTAGTTACATTTTGCTATATATATATATAAGGTTTCTCAACACTTCAGTTTAGAGCTGCAGCTAACGATTATTTTCAAAATCGATTAGTTAGCCGATTATTAAGTTCGATTAATCGGTTAATCGGATAAACAAAAAAAAAAAAATTAAAAATGGCTCCAGTGATGGGACTACTAGTTTGTATTGAGATTGTAGTCCATCACAGGAGCAAGCTTGGAGCGGTGGAAAAAAATAGTGTGGTGTGCAATATAGTGAAAAGGAAAGTGTAAAATTATACAGCAATGAATGCAGAATGGCACCGGCTATAGAGGACTACAAATCCCAGCAATAGTACATTATACAGCGCAATGCAGAATATCACCAGCTATAGAGGACTACAACAAATCCCAGCAATAGTACATTATAGCTGGTGGTATTCTGCATTGCGCTGTATAATGTACTATTGCTGGGATTTGTAGTCCTCTATACAGTGCAGTGCAGAATATCACCAGCTATATAGGAATACAACAAATCCCAGCAATACATTATACATACAGTGTATAATGTATTGCTGGATGTGTATTCCTATGTATAATATACAGCACAATGTACCATAAGCTATAGAGGAATACAAATCCCAGCAATACATTATAGAGCACCATGTGTGGGAAGTGCAGGCTTACCTGAGCAGTCTTCCAGCAACTTGCTTCTGAGATCGGACCTGTCTATCAGCGGCTGTCATCCCCCCACACCTGCTCCTCCTTACTACATCTCCCCGCGTCCCTGTGCCAATCGTGGATGTGGGCGGGCGGGGAGGAGGTGCGGCGTGGATGCGGGCGGGTCTGGCAGCGGAGAGCGTGAGGTGGGGAAAAGGTGCGGCGCGCAGCATGTGTGGAGCCGTGAACAGGGCCAACTGATCGGAAGCCGATTAATCGATTATTGAAAAAGTTGACAACTTTTTCAATAATCGATTATGTCGATTAGTTGTTGCAGCCCTACTTCAGTTTTTGATGCAACATTCCGGGGCATAGTCTGTCAGCATTGTGCTTCATTGGTTATTTTTGCTAGGGATGTCCCGATACTAGTATCACTTTTGGAGCCACTTTTGGGTACAGGGCATTTGAAAATACTCCGATACTAAAGGCCGATACCGGCCCTTCACATTTTTCAACCGGATGGGCTGCCTGAGGTCTCGCGCTTGTGGGGTCCTCAGGCAGCTGTCTTTGACAGTGTCTGTCCGGCCCCAATCCCCTCCTCCTCGTTCCCAGCGCAGGCATAGCTTGGGACAGCCCCACACTGAATGTGCATTCCGGAGCCGACACAAGCCTGGCATTCGCCAGTTCAGGCCGGCACCCACCTGTTCAGGCCGACACCTGCCCACAGAGCCCACATGCAGCCCCGGTGAGACCGTTTCTCAGCCCCGGTGAGACCGTTTCTCAGCCCCGGTGAGACCGTTTCTCAGCCCCGGTGAGACCGTTTCTCAGCCCCGGTGAGACCGTTTCTCAGCCCCGGTGAGACCGTTGCGCAGCTGTGTGTGTTATTGGTAAGCCAGTAGAGGGGCTTTAACCCCTTCGTGACTGACGACGTACAGTGTACGATGCGCAACATAAAAATTTGCAACTACCACCATTATATTGTATAGGGTCTTGGCATTCAGAAAATATTTTAAGTAATTTTTCAGGCCTAAAATGTGGAATATTATATATATAATATATATAAATGTGGGTGCAAAAAATGAAAAAAAGGCCTCAGTCATTAAGGGGTTAAGGTAACAGTAAATACAATGATGAAATAAAATAAATCCTCATGGAAAAACACATTTGTCACTGTGTATTTGGAACTAATTTCCTTCCTCCCACCATAGTGATGAAGACATCTACGAGCGGTGCGGTGAGGACGCCTGCCACTACTTGTCATTCCAGCGCCACATCATATTCTTCCTAGTTGTCGGCAATCTCCTGTGTATGGTCGCCATATTGCCGGTCAATCTGTCTGGTAGTCTGCTTGGTAAGTACTGTGGGTAGGGCTGCCATAAGGCAGGGAAGGAGGATCTGAACCCCTGTCATACTGCTATTTGGGGCTCTTTCAGAGAGGTTTCCCCTGCTGAGATAGAGATTCCTGTCTTGCTGACATCATTTTACCAGACAGGAAGTGAGGGGAACTCTCCAACAGCAACATAAACAGCAATAAAACTGCTTAGGGGGAAGGCTAAAAAGGAAAGGAATAAAACCTTTATTGTTTTTATTTCTGCCTGTGTCCCTGTTGTAGTAAATACATAGTTTAGGTAGGCCCTCACAATACACACCAGAGACCCCGATCATATGTGTGATGCGCATTAACGTGCATAGCGTTTATGCACGTTTTGCAGTGTTGGCCACGTGTCAGTCCATTAATTTCATTTAATTTCAATGGGCTGCCCTACATGCGGCAAAAAAGCTCATGTAGCAGTTCGAGCTGTGGAGAGTCATGCATTTTTGTTTGTCGTTCATTAAGGGGTAGGCAGAGACGTGTGTTTTGCTTGCCACTTTTGTGGTGTCATTAAAGGAGAACTATGAGGTGAGTGCTTTTCACTCACCTCATAGTTCTAGCCGACCTGTGACAATGAGACTGTCACAGATCAGCTCAGTAGATTGGGAGGTGAGCGAACACATACCGGGTTCGCTCACCTCTCGATCCAGTCACAGCTCTCTGCCGTGACAGGGGGAGGGGCTGGATTCTAAACTAAAGTGTCCATCTTCTTCTCTCTCAATAGATGCCGATCCTCTAAGCTTTGGAAGGACAACCATTGCTAATCTTCAGCTTGAGTGAGTGTTGGCTTATCTTACTCCCATTTCCCTTCTTCCTTTTGGATAGTCCTGTCATTTTTTTTTCTGGGATCGTGTTCTCTGTCCTGGCTCTCCTCTTATGTCATCACACCCGAATGTGCTGTGACAACGGATTCATTCTTTCTTTCTTTCTTTCTTTCTTTCTTTCTTTCTTTCTTTCTTTCTTTCTTTCTTTCCCTTCTGCTTAATCATAAAGTGACCCTTTCCTTTATCCATGCAGGCTAAAATTAAAGAGACCCTGTCCCCAGACGGTTCATTTCAACAATGATCTTCTCATAAGATTACATGAGCATTTAAAGGGTTTCTAAAGCCTCTGTTTTTTTCTTTGCATATATCTACTGCTAACAAGCAGTAGATATATGCAAAAAGTTTTTTTTTTTTTAAACAAAAACCGCTTTAACATCGCAGATGGTATGTGCAGGAGAACAGATCTGCCCTGGAACAGCTGATCAGTCCTGAAATGTCACTTCTATCGGACTTTGTGAAATGTCAGATCGCACTCTCAAAGTGACATTTCAGGACCAATCAGTTGTTCCAGGGCAGATCGGTTCTCCTGCACATACCATCTGCGATGCCGAACTGCCCTGGAACAGTTGAAAAAGCTTTGAATTCTACACCTTTTGCCGGTCACATATATTAACACCGGAAAAAATGGGCGTGACTACGTTGGAATGTGTGACCACGTGACCGGTCACACATTTCAACCCTGTCACAATCGTTGATAGAACACCGGCCCTGGGCTTTAACTACAAATCCTATAATCCCTCTGGGAGTCATGTCCGTGGCTGTCAGAGTCTTGCAATACCTCATGTGACTTGTAGTTCCACAACAGCTAGAGGGCTGAAGCTGCCCATCTCTGCTCTATAATATTCCCATTTACTCCTTTCCTGGCAGCTACATAAAAGCTTATGTAGAGAGGTGAAGTAAGGGCAGAGGAGCTGGACCAGCATAGACAGTAATTAGACACTCTTAGACCTCATTCACACTGCCATACAATACACTGTGTATATGCGCGTACACGCGTATTGTATTATATGCAAATAAATGGCTCCATACACATAGCTGCGTAATGGAGCCGTATATTTGCGTAGCGTAAAGATGCGCAAAAACAGAATGGACACGAGATGCGTCCGGGCAGCGTATTTCTGCGTATTTTACACGCGTACAGTTCGTAAAAAGTTCTATTACGAATGATGCATTCTGGGATTGCATATAGTGCATGCATGTAAGCGCATATATACGCAATATACAATTCTGCTCTTGCAATGTGTGTGCATGAGGCCTCAGAAGAGGAGAGGGCCTTGACCAGCAAGGAGGGAGGGGATTGTTCTTCCCTGAAGAAGTCAAACCTGCTAGCATATTCAAAGACATGTTGCACGTGCTTTAAATAATAATTTATTGAGGGGCTATTGGCTCCTTCACTGGCCCCGTGTCAGTGCACTGGGCTAATTATGACACTCGTAGAACTGTCACATGGGGGAGAGAGAATCACCACTTCCACCCAATAAGCAGGCAAGTTATCATGGAAGTGGTAAAGGTGAATTAGGAGGCAGTGGAGTTATACGTGTGGAACGGGGCTTCAGATCACAAGACCAACTGAACAGAATTACAAATCCTTTGGTTGGCAGATCGAACAGTAAACACGTATGTATTGTAGCTGGGTAATTGTTTGCTTGGAGATCCACTTTATAGGAATGTTGCCTTCCAACAGGGGTCGCCATATTCCAGCCCTCCAGCTGTTGTTTGGCTACAAATCCCATAAGGCATTGCAAGACTGTGAACAGCCATGACTCCCAAAGGCATACACATGCTGGGATCTGTAGTTCCACCACAGCCGGAGGGCTGAAGTTTGCCTGCTTATTGGGCGGAAGTGGTGATTCTCTCTCCCCCCATGTGACAGTTCTACGAGTGTCATAATTAGCCCAGTGCACTGACACGGGGCCAGTGAAGGAGCCAATAGCCCCTCAATAAATTATTATTTAAAGCACGTGCAACATGTCTTTGAATATGCCTGCCCCTGCCATACAATAAGCATCTTATTTCATGTCAATGTGTTTCCATAGCTTACCTTTTTGTTTGTCATGAATTGCTGCTCAGTCGTCGTGTCCCTGTGTCTGCAGAGACGGCCTGCTGTGGCTTCATACGGTCATTGGAGTGGTCTTTCTCATCCTCATTGTCTTCCTCATGAGACATCATACATCTGCCATCAAGTACAAGGATGAAGATACGGTATGTGCAGGATCAGTGCTGGAATAAAATGTTGCTCTTGAAAACTTCGGCATGATTCACCTTTGCTGGACAGAATTCTATGGTTGTTGCTGGGATAGGAAGTGAAGGGCAATCGTGCAAAAGGGTCACTTGTTCCATTGACATGGAAGGTCTAAACCTCCATTTCCGCCAAGGTGGGAAGTAAGCCTTCAGGGCTTGTTCACATGATGTCCGGACCAGATCTGGTCCGGATTTGGAGCAGATCTGCAGGGCTATGCGTTTTTGACGCGCTCCAGTAAAAAAAAAAAGAAAGTGGGGCTGTCAGTATGTTAGCTGCAGTGCGGCGCGTTTTTGACGCGTTCGTGCGTGACCGGACAAAATGTGACATGCAGCATTTTCTATGTGCGGACCAGAACGGACTGCGCACGTGAGAACTGTAGCCCATAAAACACATTGGGATGCATTTTGGGTGCAGGAGCGCACAGATCTGGTCCGGACTGAATCCGGACGTCGTGTGAACAAGCCCTCAGAGAGGGAGGAGTTACAGCCCCCAAAATGCGTTGGCTTTGCAAACAATCTATCATGGGAATAAGCTTGTATTTGGACTTTGCACTTAAATTCTATATTCATTCATCTCCATCACACCCCAAGGTGATAGTAGAAGCCCTTTGGTGTGCCAGCCCAATATTGAGATCCTCTATATTTACACCATTGCTGTTCTATTGGATGAGAACAATCATATAAAACAAACATACAAATAACCCTCAGGGTTCCAGCACTTCTTATCCACTCACCCGGATTCATTGCTCAGATCAGGAGTAGGCAAACTCCGGCCCTCCAGCTGTAGTACAACTACAAATCCCATGGGGCATTGCAAGAATGACAGCCACAGGAATGACTCCCAGAGGCAGATGCATGTTGGGATTTGTAGTTCCACCACAGCCGGAGGGCCAGAGATTGCCTGTTCCTGGTTTAGATGATACTGCAATAGGCTTCGTGATACAGACATTTCACCTGTTCTCCTGAAGCAAGCACTTGAGTGAGATATTCTGCCTTTACTTGTCCACAGACCTCATTGTCCTTCACAATGATGGGGAGTGCCCAGAGGGTTGAATGTGAAAAGAAAGAATCATTTGACTTGTAATAAAAGTTGCAGTTCTCTAAATTTTTAATTTTTTTCTGAACAGGTGAAACAGACTCTTTTTATCAGAGGACTACCTCGCCACTCCAGAAGAGACTCCATCAAGAGACACTTTACGTATGTGATGAATGGTGTCTGTGTGTCTTTAAAGTGATGTGTCTGTGTAGCAGGAGCCTTTGCAAGCTCCTCTCTCAATTTCCAAGTGACAGGAAACTCTGTCTGTCCTCATAGAAAGACCCGGGACAGACTGAACTTCCTCTCATTTAATATACAATGCTTCTACATCTTTAACCCTTTGTTGGGACAGACAGTGTTCACATCTAGCTTACAACTGATGCGATTTGCCAGCACAGTACAGACAGGGTTCATTATGTTAACTAGGGATGCACCGATACCGTTTTTTCAGTATCGAGTACCGGTACCGTGTGCCCAGATTATCAGGAAGTCGGGCGGCAGATCATGGCCCAGCTTCCTGATTGCCTGTGAAGCTGCTGTTCTAGCGAAAGAACACCGTCTTCACTTGCCGAGTCTGCCTGGCTTCCTGACCAATCAGGAAGCCGGGCGGCGGGTCATGAAGTGCTGTTCGGCTTCCTGATGGGACAGGAAGCCAGGCTGCCTAGCAACAAGGGAAGCCGGCTTTCTAGCCAATCAGGAAGCCAGGTGGCACGTCATGACCCTCCTCCCGGCTTCCTGATTGGCTAAGAAACCGTTGTCACTTATTGCTAGGTAGAGTGGCTTCCTGACCAATCAGGAAGACGGGAAGTGAGTCATGAAGTGCCGCCTGGCTTCCGGATTGGTTGGGAAGCCAGGCTGCCTAGCAACAAGTGAAGCTGGCTTCCTAGCCAATCAGGAAGCCAGGTGGTGGGTTATGACCCGCCTCCGGGCTTCCTGATTGGAAAAGGAAGCCGGCTCCATGCTCCCTCGGCACTTGCAGTCAGAGTGAAATCTCCCTCTGATCACAAGTTCTGGTATCGGAGGTAAGTATTGGAGCATTTGGGTGAGTATGAGTACTCGCCAAAATACTTGGTATCGGCAACGATGCTGATACTAGTATTCATATTGGTGCTTCCCTATTGTTAAAGAACTACATTTCTTTCAGAAGAGAGTGCGTATTGTGCAAGCAGCAATGAAAAAAGATTTAAGTTATGCTATGAGAATAAGAATCATGTACCATAAAAAGTTGGTGTTATCCCAATTTGGATGCAAAAGTGGAAATACACTTTAAACACCCTGAGAAATGTTGATTAAACTTGGTTGTTGCATTGTTCCTTGTTCACCTTTCAGCATAGCTTTGGGAGCCTAATGAGGAGATGTTGGGGGGTAGGAGGGGAACGGCATGTGGCCCATTCACTTCTCCCATTTGCCGGTGCTTGGGTGACCTAATACAAGGCCTGAGCATTGTCACGGGAAGATCTTGAGAGCCGGTATGGCCTCCAGGGCAGCCAAAGTTTTGTACCTCTTGCAATCTCTTCACATTGCATGAAAACTGATTATAAATGCAAACAGCGGGAAATAACCCTAATAAGGAAACATGCCATATTCAGAGACTAGGGTCATGCCTTTCAAATACCACTAAAAAGGGTTAAACAGAGCAGATTAAATACAAATAAAGGAACTTTTTTACACTCCAAAGGATTTGTATTTTTGATCATCCAGCCCCGAGATTTACACAGCTGTGCCACCCAGCACAGCCCTGTCTGGCAGGACAGGAGACCTGATCTTTCTCTGCAGCAGCAAACACTGAGGGCTCATTTACATAGTACAGACAATATGACAGAATATGTTCCTATGAAATCCGTATACAATTGGCCCTCTTTATAATACAGCTAGTAAATGGGTAGTAAATCTTTCTCTGTGTTGCAGTGAGGCTTATCCCACCTGCCGAGTGATGGAAGTCCACTTGTGCTACGATGTCTCTAAACTAATCTGGATCAACATTGAGAGGTAATGTATGGTAACATCTGTAATAGAAATTATCGCTGTGATACCTTCTGTTCCTTGTCCACCTTCTTCTCTCTCTTGAGTCTAAAACCTCTGCGTCCGAATTCCAAGCTCCGCCCTCACACTGTGCCCATTATATGACTTAATTCCCATTGTCCTGCGTGTGTGTGTGTTGTAGCCCACGTGGTAGAACACGCCTATGCAGTTTCCCTTTCCTTTTCACATGAAAGCGGACCTTTACCCATATCTTTAAAATAACAACAAACACACCTTTTAGAAATGTTTAGTAATGACAATCTACAAACACATACTTCTAGATAATTTCCGGCTTTGTATACCTTATTTTCTCTTTTCTTCCCCAGTCTTCTCACAGTGGCCATGTTAACTAAGGGCAGATTACTATCTCTCCTTTTACTTCCTGGATTTCTGGCACATGTGACTAGACATGTGACCATGCACATCATCTCAAGGGAGGAAAATGCCTTTCCCTGAGATCTCATGAGATGAGATTTCCCAGCAATGCTCTGCTGATGTAATCTTCCCAGGATGCAATGCTTTTGGCACTTACATCATCAATTCAATGACAAGGCAATCCCAGTGTGCATTGCTTTGGCAAACTGAATCAATTTTGCCCTTTCAAAGCAGGAAGTGAACGCTCTGCAAGTGTAAGTATTTCACAATCACAGCATTGTACACCTGATATGTCTATGTTATTAATCATCATACAGAGAGGGATGCATTGGTAGAATTAGATTTTTGAGTGTAAAGGTCAGCTTCAAGTTGCAGTCAATAGACATGAACCAGCCACATAGGAAAGAATGGGATTTCAAATTGATATGAATTTTCTGCAGCAAAATGAACAAATGTGAATAGGCCCATAAAGGTGTCATTATGCTAATCCTAGTTTTGACCCTAGTTAGCCATCACACACAATGCAGTTTGATTCACACTCTTCTTTAGTACCTTTTGGTACTGCCACAGCTCTGAGATTGGTTTACTAGTGGTACAGGTCCAACTCGAAGACCGATCTACTGGTGCAGCTCACAGGCTTATGTACTGGTGATACTAGTGCAGATTACAGACAGACCTCTTCAGAGAAACCACTGCTTCCACTTAGAGTAAGGGTCCTTCTTTGCAGCATGCTGGCACGAGACAGGCTTTTCTACTCAAGCTGTGGCCGATTTCTAAAGGAAGCCAACTTTGAGACTCAGTATACCTTTCTTTTCAGATGCACATGGAATGTGTTTTTTTTTTTTTTTTAAAGCTAATTTAAACTGAAGGTTTAGTTAGGCTTTAATTTTTTTTATTTCATCCACAGGAGGAAAGCTGAAAAGAGTCTGACTTATTACAACGATCTTCTCAACAATACTGGAGAGTACGCCTTAATAAACCCCAAGCCGTGTGGGCAGTTATGCTGCTGTGTTACGCCTGGGTGTGAGCGGGTACATAACTGTCACAGGAGGCTGATCGAGCAGTGTAGGGAGGAGATCTCAGCCTCCTGTGACAGCGTGGGCTGTCTCCGCCCCCACACCGCTCTGCCGGACTGTGATAGGAGGCTGAGCGGTGTGGGAGGAGAGACGCCGGCCGCTCACAGCGCTCGGCCGGCTGTCAATACACACACACACACCACTTCCACAGACTAAGGCCTTGTTCACACCAAGCGCAGATCAGTTGCAGACCGGATCAAAACTGCATCCAATGTATTCCAATGGTATTTTTTGCTCCAGTTCACATCGCAGCGTGCAGATCCAGAGCAGGTGAAAAAACTGCAGCAGGCCCTATTTTACCTGCTCTGGATCTGCAAACGCATAAAAAATGCATGCAAATGCCTGGAACGCACTGAAAGCCCATGTTAAACTACATTTTTTTTTTAACCAAAAACAGCCCAGAACGCATCAAAAACGTGGCACAACCCACTGCACTGCGTGTGCAGTAACCTGAGCGGATCTGCTCTGCATTTGGTGTGAACAAGGCCTAAACCATCACAGACTAGATCTCATTATACATTTCATTGTAGTAGCATTAGTTGTATAAACTCGACACGTTTCACAGGAGTATCTGAGGCATTGGTATAATACTGAGAACCTCTTGGAGTCAACAACATGGACATATCTGCCAAACGTCTGGTGGGCAAGCATATGGATACCAGCGGACCATTCCCTCCTATTTGAATCAATACTGACAGAGCTGCAGATAACACCACATTTATTCAAACACTGCACTCCTCCATAGGATACACTGCACGATAGAAAGATCCTGACGTTGGTGGAACAGTGTAAGCAACCTGGGAAACGAGAGCCCACATGGTCTGTGGTCAGGAGGAGATGGACTCTCCTTCCTCAGGTTACTTACACTGTTCTACCAACGTCAAGCTCTTTCTATCATCCATTTTCAGATATGAATAGAATCTTGCAAGCTGAGTCTCCTACTGACTTGTTCTTGTTCATTACTAGCAAAAAAAAGAACAAACCTTACCTCTCTACCCACTAATTTTTGCAATAAATTATTTTTACCAGCATTACAAGTGCTTTTAAAAGGGGATGTTTTTGTATGTATTTTTTTTTCTATATTTTGGATTTACAAAATTCATATTTGATCTGCTTTTCTCAGCTTTCAGCCAGGAAAATATGAAATGGTTTGTATTAATATTTCATATAATATTTTCATATTTACATTTCCAGCCAATAGGCAAAGCTTTAGGCTCCTTTTTATATGTTTATCTGTCTGTTGTTAGTTGTTCTGTTAAACAAAACAAAAAAAAACAGAGAGCTATAAAGAAAATTTGTATCCAAAATGGGAAAGTTTCAGACCAGTTAGACTCCTCCTTCCTTACCCTCTCTTCCTGCTCTGTACAGACAGATCTATGTGGATTTTCAATTACAGAGAGACAGCCTGAAAGCAAACGGTCTGTGCTCTATTTCTCTCATTTGAAAACCCATACCGATTTGCCATATTGCCAATAATCTGTGGACGCCTGACCACACCTAAATGAGCTTGCTAGACATACCAATACAAAACCATGGCCACTTGATTTCCCATACGCCGACCTCATCAAACCATGTCTTTATGGAACTGGCTTTGTGCACTAGAGCTCAGTAATTTAGAGGAGTACCTACATATCTTTGCTAGTATAGTGTACCTGTGTCATAGGGGAACCCCATATTATGGTTATTTGTTAGATTGTGTATTAGTAGAAAAAAAAAAAAATTTAAAAACCTAAACGTTAAAAAAATGCACATTGCATTGCTACAGTCTGGATCCCTTCATCTTTGCCTCTTCATGCAAGTACATTTCCTAATCTTTACTTTGGAACGCTTGATGTCTGATCCACTATGCCTTTCCCACACAGGAGGATGCAATTGGATATTACACGAGGATGAGAGATAAGCTGCTGGAAGAGTATACAGCTAATATGGAGGTAGTTCTAAATGCTCCACTCGGTATGGCCTTTGTCTCGTTCTCTGACAAGTCTATGGCAACTTTGTAAGTATTTTATGTATTGTGGGCAAAATATGGAGGGAATTAAAGGAGGTGCTACAATTAACCTCTTGCCGTCCGCCCGTAGTAGAAAAACGGACGGACGGCACTGCTGCATCTGCGGGTTGATAAACCTAAAATGTTGTTTTTACAAATTTCGGTTGCTAATGGACTCCCAAATCATATTACATAGTTAGGTTAAAAAAAAGACACATGTCCATCAACATCGGTCATGTCCAATGTCCAACATTATAAAGCATATTATAATAAAAAACATTCCAAATCCCTTTTATTCTACCCTTTTATTTCTAGGTCACATGATTGTATTGCTTTTTTCGGAGCCAAATGGCCTGGGCAGTGGGCGGGACCTGTCTGCCCTGCCATGAGTGGCAATGACAGGTGAGGCCACTGTCGATCAAATACCCTTATCCACCCTGTCAGGCTCTCAGCTGCCTGCAGCACCGCCTGATTGGGCGAGTAAGAGTATTTGATTGACAGTGGCTCCTCCTGTCATTACTATTCACAGCAGGGCAAACTTTTCCTGCCCACCACCCATGCCATTCACATACAAGTAGAACATGGCGGAGTAAGCCATAGATGTGGCTTATTTGCAGCATGTGTACAAGCGGTGGTAACACTGCAAAGGGTAGATGACCCTTTAGTAGGTGTGTGTAGGTCACTGACACTGTCAACGGGTATTTTTTAACAAAAATCTATTTTCTTTTAAATAAAAGGCCCACAATGCTATAGAGATATATGTGACTATAATGGGGTCCTTTTTAGGTTTACTGACGTGTCAATTAGACTCGGCTTATATTTCTCACTTTACAAAAAATGACTGGTTGCTTTGTTTATCACCAACAGTTTTAATTTCCTCCTTTTAAGATGCATTTTCTTTGTTAATCTGATGCGGTGATTCTTGAGACCTTGTTTTGTATCCGCAGTATCCTGAAGGATTTCAACGCTGTTAAGTGTCACGGACAAAAGTGTTCCACCCAACCCCAACCATCCAGCCTCAGCAAACAGCTTTCTGCCTTGCAATGGTCTGTCTCCTACGCCACCTACCCAGAGAATATCTCCTGGTATGTTGTCTCTTTATAAATTACACAGATACGCCTGCTGTACTATGTGAGATCCACAAACAATCATAGTCCAAGGAATCTTTGAGATCACAAGTTGGCTTTCGGGTCGTCTGTTTAGCAGTATGACTTTGGGAGAATCTCATTATTGTTACCTGAAAAGGAAATACTTTTTATGTACACTAAAGCTGGCTGTAGACCTGTGAGGTCAGTGGGGTGCTGTGACGCGATTTGATTGCTTTAGAAGCAGAAATAAAATAATCAACAATTAAAGAATATCTAAGGCCCAAATTTTTCTTTAAGTTGGTCTCACACCTATGAGTTCTCTCGCACATTTCCCTAAGCATAGCAATGCTAAACGTGTAGAATCGCATTATTTTCAGTGGGCTCGTTCACACCTGAGTGTTGTGTTGCTTGTAACAAAAAAAGTGCAAAAAAAGAGAAGCTATGTTTTTTATCGGGCAGGATCATGCATTTTTGGCCCCATAGACTCTAATGGGTGCGCCTCTAAAACGTTTGATTTTTGTGTGGTATCAACCACAACCACAATCTCCTCCTAGTAACTAGCTTTCTATTGGTTCAAACTGCTCAATCCTTAAAAACCCCCCAAAATATGTACAAAAACAAACTTCAAAATCACCTGAAAAGTCTGAATGGGGGTTTGAAGGACAACTATACCTTACCTCTGGCCCTATTCCAGCGCTTCCCACTGTGCAGCCCTGCTTGAAGGTGCACAGACACTTTTCAGAAAGCGTCCTGGTAGCATCCTCTTTATCCCATGGATGTGAACCTTGGCCCTATTAATTCCTATAGGGGAGCCGTACTCAGCAGAAATGCTGGGGGCTAGTTGACATGCATATGCAGGATGAAGAGAACCTGGGAGCAGGGCTAAGAAGTAGACCAGGTGAGTGGCAGTCAGGGGATGGGGAGGATACCTTAAAGTATAACTCTTGCAAACAAAATCTCCCATACGAGATTTGCCTAGTGGATGATCTCCCCTATCAAGGCTCCTTGAGCTGAACCATTCTCCCGATGTCATAACCAGACTTCTATCTGACACTCCCCAACACTGCTGCTTTATTGTAGTGCTGCATTTCCCCTCAAATAAACACAGGGATGGCCACGTGGTAAAAGAGCCACCAATGGTATAAAAACAACTGTAGTTTAACCAGTATAGGTGAAAACCACTAGCAGATATGTGTTAAATCAGAAATATGACTTCCTCAGTGGTAAATCTGCGTAATGCTAAGTTACATCTAATAGTTGTACGACAGACAGTAGTATAATAGTCATTGTGGCATTAATAAAACTGGATGTTAAGTTTATTTTTCTTTGCTGTTCCTTTTTTTTAGGGAGAATATGTCGGTGCACGGAGTGAGATGGTGGGCCCGTTTCATCGGCATCAATTTTATCCTCTTCATTGTGCTGTTCTTCCTGACAACGCCATCAATTATTATTACTACAATGGACAAGTTCAACGTCACCAAACCCATCTACTACCTAAATGTAAGCGATGGACAATTGCAGCTCAGCCTGGGGTTTAAAATATGGCGTATAAACTGCCAGATTTCATAAATAATGAACAAAGCCTCAAAGTCCAGCTGTGCTTTCAGTTTCAATGAAATTAGCTAAGTACTTTCACTGTGCAAAGGGATGATGGTGCCCGCTGTGCATGGCATGATTTAAAGGAGAACTATGGGGTCAGGGCTTTCCCCCATAGTTCTCCTTAGTGTAACGGGAGGACACAAACTATCGTCCTCCCGTCACCCTAAGCTCAGTTGCTGAGCTTGGCTAAGCTAAGCGAGCTGAGACGCTGAAGCGGATCCCGACAATTATGTCTGGATCCGCCCAGCTGCTTGAGTGACAGCTGGCTCTGCCTATCTAGAGGGAGAGCCAGCTGTACCCGCCCCCTTCCCCGTCCGTTCCGCCAGTCAGCGCTGGAGGAGCGGGGAGGCGGGGAATCCAGCCCCTCCCCTGTCACGGCAGAGAGCTGTGCCAGTATGGAGAAGTGAGCGAACGCCGGTATGTGTTCGCTCACTTCCTGATCTACTGAGCCGACCTGTGACAGTCTCATTGTCACAGGTCGGCTAGAACTATGAGGTGAGTGAAAAGCACTCACCTCAGTTCTCCTTTTAATATCAGTTAGCATAACCTCCATTATATTGTGTTTCTGCAGAATCCAATCATCAGTCAGTTCTTCCCAACTTTGCTGCTGTGGTCGTTCTCTGCACTGCTGCCCACGTTCGTGTACTATTCCACCCTCTTCGAAGCCCACTGGACAAAGTAAGATATTGCACTTCTGTGTCTTTTCAAGGCTCAGCCCATCCAAAAATGAATTGTTCAGTTGCAGCTGGCTGCTATGAAATAAAAAGTAATTGAAATAAATCTTTCAAGTGTCATTTAAATTGATCAAATGAAAGCTTGTGCGTTTCAGAGATGCCGCGTATACCATTTAACCATTTTCATGAGGGCCATAAGATCCCCCAAATCTGGGCTCCTCAATGTCGGCGTATTATTATAATAGGTGGTCCTACTGATAGGGAGGTCTAGGGGATGGGAAGGGACGGGTCAGCGATTGACTTAACCAGCAAAAGTCATAATTTGCATAAGTGTGCCTTAGATGTTCATGAAGACCTTTTTATATTTAGGCAGAGATGCCTGGATGTTACCCACATTGTAAATTGAAAGGAGAAGTATTGGGAGAGTAATACAGAATGCATCTGTCACACGTTGGTTCTATACCAAGAGCTAAGCGATCGTGTACTTGGATCAGTCAGCTCACAGTCTCTTCCCTGCAAAGAGCGGTGACCGTCGGTCACCGCTCCCCACAGGAATCGCCCTTCCACTTTTTCCTCCAGCGCTCATTGGAGAGAAAGTGGAGGGAGCTGGCTCTGGCTCTAGAGAGGTAGAGCCAGTTATCAATCAGGCAGTTGGGTGGATACTGAGACTATTGTGGAGGAATAATTTTTAGGCAAAGGCCAGTTAACTTACCAGCTTGTTTTGCTTTATTTTTAATGGTAGCGGGTGGAAATGGAAGCACTAACACAGGCAGAACATACAGTCTCCATACTAATAGCGTACTGCTGAATTTGAGGCAACTGAGCTATTATATTGCTGGTGAGCCAGCATGATCTGGGAACACTTGTGTTAAGTTGGCACATGAAAGCACATACACTCCACTTCTAGACTTTGCAGACATGAGATACATCTGCAGGAGCTTAAAAAAATGTGCGAGAGCCATAACTGCAAATCTCTGTTTCTGGTGACATTCTGTTTGCTTGTGCTACTCACAATGTACCTACATGTGTTACAGATCTGCAGAAAACCGGATTATGATGCACAAAGTGTACATCTTCCTGATATTCATGGTCCTAATTTTGCCATCTCTTGGCCTCACCAGGTTAGGAATATCTGCCATGTTTTCCTGCTTATGTGGTATGTCCAACTGTCTAAGTTTCCCTGACATCCCTATGTTTCTCAATGTCCCATATTCTGTCCTCCTGTGCCTGTGCTTTTGTCTTGTACCTTGCCCGATTTCTTGTCCTACCTCCCTCCTTCCTGTCCCGTGTTCTGTTGTACTGTGCCTGTCTTGCCTTTCCTTTCGTTCTCTTGCCTCCTTCCTTCCTGTCCCTTGTACTTTCATACTATGCCTGTTGTCTTTGTTATTACTTTTGTTTTTGTATTTTTGTTTGTCTTGCCTCTCTCCTTCCTCTCCCATGTTCTGTTGTACCGTGTCATTGCTTTCCTTTTGTCTTGTACTTTGCTAGATTGCTTGTTTTGCCTCCCTCCTAATTGCCTTTTGTATTTTTGTTAGTTAGTCTTGCCTCTCTCCTTCCTTTCCCATGTTCTGTCTTTGCTTTCCTTTTGGCTTGTACTCTTGTTAGCTTTCCCTGTCATATTCTTCCTGCCTACCTCCTCTGCTCTCTGTGTGATTATCCACCTTTTACTTTTATCTTATATTTTGCTTTTTCCCTTGTCCTGCCTCCCTCGTTTCCTCTTTATCAGGGCTCTGACTTTGTCCGGCTGGCTGCATTACTGTTCATTCACCAAACCATTACCTTATGCCTGATCTTTTCTGACTCCCAGTCTGCCTGCTTGCTGTCTTCCTTGTACACATTGCCTGCCCTTTCCTCTTACTGCTTGCCTGCTGCACATTCTCATTGATGCACTTCTGTGACTATTTGTTAGTCTCCATACATAAGGTAGGAGTCCTGGGACATTATCATGCATTTATAACGTATCATGTAGCTCTCAGACTGTGGCATGCTGTCACATATTGTGCAGTGTTTTTTCTTGGATCTTCTTCTTCCAGTAGAATGTGGAGTTCCCTCCACTTTGTGACGGTGATATTAGAGCAGAGAGTCAGAGGAAGGGAGTGTCAGTCACTGCTGGTGTATTAAGGGCAGAGTAGCAGGAAGGGGGGCTCACTTTCCACTCGGTCTAACCACTGGCACAGTTTGTGTTTGAGATGCTGTTTTTCTTAATTTACCTTTCAGGCGGCTGACTGTCACTCTTTGGGATTTTGTAGTCTAGATGAACGGTTTTGTAGTCTGTATTTGAATGTACTTGTTTCCTTCACTCTAAGGTTTTGGACTTTTTGGTGGGCAAGGTGCTAATACATTTTTCCAAGCCTCATGGTTTGCCCTCTCTTCCCCCTTTCCTCTCCCTCCACCATCTTTACCTGCATCACTTTGTCAGTCTACCTCCCCTTTACCTGTCCCCTTCCCCCAGCCCATTCCTTGCTTTAGTTTAACTTCCTCTGTCTGTGATGCTTCTGGTCCTTCTTCCTCTGTGGTCAATGTGTATACAGAATATTCTAAATTTCTTTCCCAATGTCTGTCTACAGCTTAGACGTTTTCTTCCGATGGCTATTTGACAAGACCCTGGATGGTCCCTTCAGACTGGAGTAAGTACGGGCCGCTTCACCTTTTCCTGTGTACACCATATAGACTTTCCATAATATTTAATACATCATAGAATGAAGCAGAGAGTTTCCGATCTTTAGGGATTTGTGCTCCTTGAAGTATTTCAAAACCCAGGAACAAAAATGTACTATAGTGCAGCTTACCGGTCCTTGGATGCGGTGGCTGCATTCGTTTTCCTTTTCCTTTTTTTATGTCTCTTTTTTTTTTTCTTTTATTTACACTGGGTTATCCTGTCCAAGGGTGACATCACTAGCATACTGTTTCTATGAGGGAGCAGTTCTGTTATACCAGGACAGGTAGTATGTTAGGATTGCACAGGACTACAGAATACCTCCCTACTTGTCTTCATAACATAAGATGAGGTGTTCTGTAATCCACATTGAGAACTGGACAGAACTGATGACACTGATTGGGATTTGCACAGGAACTTCACTAAATTTCTGACCAGATCAACAGGTATATTTTGCACTTATTAAATAGATATAACAAAACATTTTGAATGGCATATTTAACTGACCAAAAGGGAGCAAACGAGAAGTTCATTGTCGGGGTTTAGTTCAACTTTAAAGTGTATTTCCAGCCAAAGTCACTGTTACAGAGACAAAGTAAAGGGAAATTCAATGTTTTTCAGTTGCCACTAGAGCAACTGGTGAGGGAAAATCTTCCAGTGCGGACACCTGTTGCTGTGACAAATTTGTAAGATGGCAGTTCTGTTAGGAGAGGTTTCCTCTCAAGTACAGTACTGGACAGGAAGTGTGAGAGGGAACGGCAGTACTGGACAGGAAGTGTAGGGAACTCTCCCCAGCAGGACCCAAAGAAAAAAAAAACACTGATAGGGGTTTAAACCCTTCTATCTAGAACTTAAAAAAATAAACTTTGGATTTACATTCACTTCAAGACTCCTGTAGTCGGAAATGGCTGCTTAAAGCATCATCTGGTCCCACAGCTATTTTTATATAATCATTTGTACATATATGTGAACCTTATATATATATA